AAAAAAAAAAAAAAGAAAATAGCCGCTTTTGGGGGTGATGGGGTGGAAAGAAACCATAAAAGAAAAAGGTAATGGTCAGAGAGACAAGGGGATGAACCACAAAGCCAGAGAGTTGTCAGAGCCATCAACTATGTCAAAGCCAATGGGAACTGAGAAGAGACCCCTGGAAAGGGCTTTCAGACATCCTGACCTCCCATAACTGGGTAACATTTTGGGCTAAATACCTCATGAACCTCATGACGTGTCCTCACGGGTCGTAGGAGACAGCCTCTCTATCAAGAGACCTGGGCAGGGGTGCCTGGATGGTTCAGTTGGTTAAGCATCTGACTTTGGTTCAGGTCATGATCTGTCAGGCTCTGTGCTGACAGCTCATAGTCCAGAGCCTGCTTCGGATTCCGTGCCCCCTTGTCTCTCTGCCCCTCTCCCACTCGTGCTCTGTCTCTTTCTGTCTCTCACAAATAAATCAACTTAAGACCAATTTTTTATTTTAAAGAGATCTAGGCAGAGCTGTGTTTCCCATGGTTTCCTGTTTTCTCTTCTGTTTCTGGCAAAGGCCCAGAAAAATGGAGCTATTTTGTTTGCCATGAATCTCATGCCCCCTTAACTCTTTAACGAAAGGCGGGGCAAGTCATAAAAGTTATAAGCTGAAAATTTTTTTAAATTTTTTTTAATGTTTTATTTATTTCTAGGAGAGAGAGAGAGACAGCGTGAGCAGGGGAGGGTCAGAGAGAGAGGGAGACACAGACTCTGAAACAGGCTCCAGGCTCTGAGCTGGCAGTCAGCACAGAACCTGACGCGGGTCCCGAACCCACGAACCGCGAGATCATGACCTAAGCGAAAGTCGGATGCTCAACCGACTAAGCCACCCAGGCGCCCCATATAAGCTGAAATTTTTAAATCACTGGCAAAAGTGTAGTTTAATGATTGTTTATGAGCAACAGCAGCAGCAAATGGAGGAGGACTCCCAGTGGACTCCAGTTAGCTGCCAGCTCAAATGATAAGACTGGGAATTGTGAAGTGAGAATAAGGAACTGTCTCTTGTTTTCTACCTTTACTATTGTGGCCAGTTATCAAATAACAATAACTGACTTTAATGGCATAAGTTTTTCTAAAGGTCAGTCTCTTGATCAAATGTTCCTGGACTTGACTTATCCTAGGTCACATGGCAAATGACAAAGGTAGCCTTCACGTTCATAAGATACTGGAGATTTATCTGTGTAATTAAAGAAATAGTAAACGGAGCATGAGGGATGAGGCTGGAACTTCTATTAGAATCATTTATGGAGGAGCGTCTGGGTGGCTCAGTTGGTTAAGCATCCGACTTTGGCTCAGATCATGATCTCCCAGTCTGTGGGTTCAAGCCCCACGTCGGGCTCTGTGCTGACGGCTCAGAGCCTAGAGCCTCCTTTGGGTTATATGTCTTTCTCCCCTGCTCGCTCTCTGGCTCTGTCTCTCAAAATAGACATAAAAAAGTTTTTTTAATCATTTATAGAATCTATGGAATCATTTTTAACCTTAATTCCATAAAACCTTTAAAGATAATGAGAAATCTAGGGACGGATTTAGGCAGATGAGGTCATGTGGAATAAAGTAAGATTCCGAACCGCTGAAAGGGTCTGAAAGCCTTGAAACTTTGGGTAGAGTTTTAAAGAAGAAAAATAGTGCATAAACTACATTTCCCAGGAGGCCTCGCGCGGGAGTCTCCGCACTCCGCTAGTTTCTCTTCGCCTCGAGGTAAGCTGGGGAATGTAGTGCTCCAAGCCGCCCTGCACGTGACGCGTGCTGAGGAAGACGAGGGGGGACCGCGCCGCCCTCGGCGGTTCGGGGGCCCCGCAGCCTAAGTGTGAGCTGCTCCTGGCCGGGAATTTGGTTTGCGCAGGGCGGGGAGGGCCCCCGTCGTCCGGCCCCATCCGTGAAAGAGCTGAGCCGGGTTCGCCCGCCGGCGCTGCTCCGGGGAAGTCCCCGTGTGCGAGGCACCTCTGGGTCCCGTTCCGTTTCTGCGCTGCCGGGCCGGGTGCGGCGGAAGGTGCGAACAGCCCGGGGGCTCGCAGCTCGCGCCGTGCGCCCCACCCAGGCTGCGGCCGCACGGGGAGGAAGCGCGTATAGGTTGAGCGCAAAGTTTCCCTTTTTGCTTTCTCGTCACAGCCGCTCCAGCGGGCGGTCTTCACTTTGAGGGGGTCCGGAGCCGAAGGAGTTAAAACAAGCGACGCCCCCCACCCCACTGGCCGCCTCCCTCACCAGTCCAGCCCGCCGGCCATGGGCGGACGCGATCACCTGTTCAAAGTGCTGGTGGTGGGGGACGCCGCGGTGGGCAAGACGTCCCTGGTGCAGCGATACTCCCAGGACAGCTTCAGCAAGCACTACAAGTCCACGGTGGGAGGTGAGACGTCGCCGCGGGGGCGGGGTGCACCCCCGCGGGTGGGGAGCCGGGGGCTTCGAGGCCTTAGGCCCTTACCCGGTCAGGAAGTAGGTGTCCAGGATCTTGGAGGGACTAACCGCCCCGTGTTTGATCTGCACGTTTCTCTTGGGTTTCCCCAATTCGGGTCACCAGCCTGAGCTGACTGCGGGGCGGGGGGGAAAGAGATTGGGCGGAGGTGTGAAGAGCAGCAATGGGGAAGGGAGATGAGAAAATGCGCAATTGTTGCGTTTCCCCCGGGACCTGTGAACTCAGGACTCCTGCAACCTTACAAGGGGTCATGGGCAAATTTGTGTCATCAGCAGGGGCTGCTGGGACTCCCCCCCCCTCCCGCGCCCTCCCCGCACATGGAAGGCCTGGTTGGGTGCGGGACGGGGCTCTCGGCCTGCCTCTTACAGGAGTTCCAGGCAGGTGATGAAGGAAAAGAAAGGTGTTCAATCTGGCCTTAAAGGATCCTAGTTTATCTTGTGTGTTTTAATTATTTTTAAAATTTATTTATTTTGAGAGACAGAGCATGAGCAGGGGAGAGGCACAGAGAGAGAGAATCCCAAGCAGGCTCCCTCTGTCAGCACAGAGCCCCCACATGTGGCTCCTTGGGAGAACTGCTGCATCATGACCTGAGCTGACATCAAGAGTTGAATGCTTAACCCTGAGCCACGCAAGCTCTCCTAGGATCCTAGGTTTGTTTGGGGGTGCCTACCTGGGAGAGCCCCAGGCCCACACAATCTGATGGTATTTTTGTCCACGTATTGCTTAAATAAAGGCAACTTGGGGTGCCTGGGTGGCTTAGTCGGTTAAGCGTCCGACTTTCGCTTAGGTCATGATCTCGCGGTTCGTGGGTTCGAGCCCCGCGTCGGGCTCTGTGCTGACTGCCAGCTCAGAGCCTGGAGCCTGTTTCAGAGTCTGTCACTCCCTCTCTCTCTGACCCTCCCCTGCTCACGCTGTCTCTCTCTCTCTCCTAGAAATAAATAAAACATTTAAATAAATAAATAAAACAAAAAAATAATCTAGAAATTCTTCAAGAAATTTGAAATATACAGATTATCTGACCTATTTTCCGGCCCCCTTTTCTCTCAAACTGGGGAGGGGAAAAAAGGAAGGGAACACTAAGGAGTTCATTCATTTCTTTCTACTCCACTTTTTTTTTTTTTCTCTCTCAGAGGTAGAAATGCCTTTTTGTTAGGTAGAAAGTGTTTAGCTGGTGAAGGGGGAGAGTAACAACATTTATTTATCTACATTACGAGAACATTTTTTAAGGAAAAAAAACCTACGCTAATATAAATTTTGAAGATGGGTAATAGTGTTCACTATGGAATTTAAAAAAATTAACAAGCATTAACATTACAATTAAAACATCCTCCTTGAGAACATCCAGCAAAATTTAGAATTTATAAATTTTTTAATGTCTATATATTTTTGAGAGAGAGAGACAGAGTGCGAGCAGAGGAAGGACAGAGAGAGAGGGAGACACAGAATCTGAAGCAGGCTCTGGGCTCTGAGCGGTCAGCACAGAGCCCAAGACGGGGTTTGAACTCACAAATGGAGACATCATGATCTGAGCTAAAGTCTAACACTTAACCAACTAAGCCACCCAGAAGCCCCAAAATTTAAGGTTTAAAGTTTCAAAAACTATTTCCTGACTACTTTGCCTCCTGACTCCTACATAATATGAGGGCCCCTATTTCATAGATTTGGTTAAAAATATTTCTCTAATTTGGGGCGCCTGGGTAGCTCGGTCGGTTAAGCGTTCAACTCGATCTCGACTCAGGTCGTGATCTCACCTACACTGATGGCCCAGAGCCTACTTGGGACTCTGTCTGTCCTTCTTTCTGCCTCTCCCCAACTTGTGCACGCTCTCTCTCTCTCTCTCTCTCTCTCTCTCAAAATCAATAAATAAACATAAAGTTTTTTAAAAAGTATTTCACTAATTCGTTTTTAGCAATTGCTCTAGTTTTCCTTTAGTAAAGAATAACTGGCTCCAGGTAAATTTTTTTTCCAGTAATTATTCTAAATTTCCCCTGGCTTTCATTTCTGTCACAGATGCGGAAAAATGTATTTCCAAATCTGGAAAAGTATTCATTTTCTCTCATCGAAAGCCTTCCCCCCCCAAGCGTACTCTTCCAGTATCAAAAGCCTCGCCCCCCTCCCCCCGCCACATACTCTTCCAGGCTTAGCTCGCTGAGTCGCAGCATCTCCAGATTTCAGTGGGGCTCTTAAGCGTCATTCGTGCTGTGGCTTCTTCCTGGGACTCCTCTGGGACGTCTGCACTTTGTCCCCATTCCTGCCCCAAATAAGTTCCTCCAGCCTTATGGAGGGTACAGAACTCCCCCCTGGGGTGCGTCCTTCTCATCATGCAATTGGATTAGAAACCAACAGTGAAATTGAATGTGGAAGATGCAAAAGCTACCGCACTTACCTCATTTCCCACTTTTGCGCCATCGTCCCTTCCCTGAGAAAACCCCCTAGACCTCCCAGAAACTGTGCAGCTTGAGATCAGGAGTTGTTTTGCTACTTGCTCCCATCCTCCTACCCCCAGCCTTAGAGACAACTAGTAACAAATAAATGAGTTTGTTGAGAAAATAAAAGCTGAAGACCCCTTCAGAGAGTGGTTATGAATTGTCTGTGCCAGGTGCGCCTGGCTGTCTTCCGTCAGAACATGTGACTCTTGATCTTGGGGTATATGAGATCGAACCCCATGTTGGGGGTACAGTTTACTTAAAAATAATAATAATAATAATAATAATAATAAGGAGCACCTGGGCGGCTCAGTTGGTTGAGCATCTGACTTCGGCTCACGTCATGATCTCCTCATTCATGAGTTCGAGCCCCACATTGGGCTCTGTGCTGACAGCTCAGAGCCTGGAGCCTGCTTCGGATTCTGTGTCTCCCTCTCTCTCTGCCCCTCCCTCACTTCCTCTTTCTCTCTCTCTCTCTCTCCCTCAAAAAATAACTAAATAAATAAACATTAAAAAATAATTTAAAAATAATAATAAATGTTTAAAAAATAAAGAATTGTCTGTTCCACACTTAATACATGTGGTGGGCTCATCTCAGCCCATTGAGAGCTTAAAAATAAATAGAAAGGATTAGATTTGTGTGTCTCTAGTTAAAACTGCATGTTTGATCTGAGTTTGTTCGTGGATTTTTTAAAGGTAAATTTTATTCAATTCTACTTGTATTTTCAGTGGATTTTGCTCTGAAGGTCCTCCAGTGGTCTGACTCCGAGGTGGTGCGGCTCCAGCTGTGGGATATTGCAGGTGGGCTGGGAAGATGCAGTGGGAACAAAGGAAGACGTTTTGTTGAATCAGCAAGCCCTCAGAAAAAGTGGGGTAGCAAACCCAGTTCTTTTCTGGAACCGGAATGACTGGGTCGTTCAGAGGGAACCTAAGATGGGTAGATGTAGAGTGCTTGTAGACCTTTTCTGTAGGTGTTTTGCCCTGGATACATGAAGAGACTTTCCTGTGTGAGGGGAGCGGCTGACCAGGCTGTGGGATCCTCCAGAACGTAGGCCGGTGCTCTCACAGCAGGGGGAGGGCGCTTTCCCCAGCGTTTCAGCTGACCTTGGTGAGAAACAGATCCCCAGAAAATAGAGACAATAATAATAATAGCTGACTTTTACTGTGTGCCAAGCACTTTCCTAAGCATTTTAGATTCAATGACTCGTTAATCCTCATAGCAACCCTGTGATAACAGCTACTGCTTTTATCTCCGCCCTGCAGATGAGAATCTGAAGCACCAAAAGCTTGACTTGGCCAAAGTCATACAGATAATAAACGACAGAGCAGGGATTTGGACTTGGGCGGTCTGGGTGCAGAATCTGGACTCCGCCACAGTGCGTCCTGCCCCGTCCCCCACACTGAAGATAGGAAGGGCAGGGCATAGGAAGGGGTTGCGACTAGTTCTTAGCATCGCCTTTCCAACCAAACATTCCCACCTTCCCTCCCAGGGCAGGAGCGCTTCACCTCCATGACACGACTATACTATCGGGATGCCTCCGCCTGTGTTATTATGTTTGATGTTACCAACGCCACGACCTTCACCAACAGCCAGAGATGGAAACAGGACTTGGACAGCAAGCTCACACTACCTAATGGAGAGCCCGTGCCCTGCCTGCTCTTGGCCAACAAAGTATGTGGTCAATCTAGGCAAACAGCCCCTGGCCTCTCTCTGTGGTCAGACAGTGGGTATATCTAAAATGCTCTCTGATTCCAGATACCCATTTCCCCTTCTCAAGTTCGCAAAATCATCTCTCCCTCCTTTCAAGGGGATGCTGGGACTTTGTTTGGGAAGAATATTGGCTAGATTTTAGATGTCGGTGTTCTGAGCCATCGGTGGAAAGGGTTTAAATCCACAAGTATCTGAGCTTCTCTTCTCAGGAAGCTTATGGTGTTGCCTTTTATGTACTCTCTTTGCCAGTGTGATCTGTCCCCTTGGGCAGTGAGCCGAGACCAAGTGGACCGGTTCAGTAAAGAGAATGGCTTCACAGGTTGGACAGAAACATCAGTCAAGGAGAACAAAAATATTAACGAGGCCATGAGGTGAGCGGTTCCTGCTGTTCTGGGGTCAGACGCACAGATTCCCCTGTCTTCTGCTGCTGCTCTCCCCATCGACCTTCTTTTCTTGTTTCTGAGCAAACAAGAACAGACTGAGCCACTGGAATTCCAGCTTTGGAAGGTCGGGGATGCTGTCCTTTATCCTGAGATACCTGGGGACAAAGGGGCACTTGAACCTTGTGGCTTTACTGAGTGCCATCCGGTGATAAGACAGACAGGGTCTCCCATTCCTCCCTTCCCTCCACCCAGTTTCTCAGGCTTATTTTTTTTTTTTTTTTAATTTGTGTTGTAGAGTCCTCATTGAAAAGATGATGAGCAATTCCAGAGAAGATATGTCTTTGTCCACCCAAGGGGACTATATCAATCTGCAGACCAAGCCCTCCTCCAGCTGGGCGTGCTGCTAGCAGTTTGGGGCTTGTTTTCCCTCCCGATGTCAGGAGGTCTTTTCATCTCTTTCCTTTGGCTGCCCACCCAGCAATCTCCTGTACACGTGACCCATCTCCTGCTGGCTGTCCTGAAAGAGCCATCCTCACTGAGGGAAGTCTGGGACTCCAGTGCATTTCTGCATCCCTCACAGGTGGGCTACTCGCAGCTGTGGCTCAGTACCTTCTGTATAAGAAAGATCATCTTTCTTTGTGATCTGGGATTTTGTGGGAAGCATTGGAAATCCGCACCTGTGATCAGAATTCCCACCCGTTTTTGGCGTCCATTTTTCCATTTGATGTATGTTGATATCTCAACCCGGTAGGACTTCAGATTGCGAGAACAAGAGCAAAGGGCATTTCCCAAATGCCCTATAGGTTGTCGCTGTCAGATTCTTCCTGTCTTGGACTTTGACTTTGAACCTCTGATTCCAGGATGCACAGGAGTGTGGCTGGATATCCATGGGTTTGGGGCCACAGGAGATAATGGAAAAGTCACTGTATTTTTGAAGCTTCTAAAGTCATAATTGGCTTTATCTTATCTTGGCTGCAAGAGTATTCAAGCTTATAAACTACTTATTATGAGTGAAGAGAGCATTTCTTTCCCCCAGAGAAATCAGTTGTCACGTTAGGGTTTTCAAGGGTCTCGCTACCAGTGGGTTGAGAATGGGGTCGGCAGGTTTCTGGGTTGGTGTCCTGACGCATAACACTGCAAGTGACATCAGTTGGCTGCAGTGCCCTGACATAGGTCTGTTCCTCACAGCTTGGGGAGTCTGAATGGAAGAGGGAAAGGTTAATAGAACAAAATCCCATGGGACGACTTGTTTCTGAGCACTTTGGGTGCTCAGCCATAAGAAACAAATTTTATGTACAAACCTCTGCCTGAGGGGAGTGAGTAGATAGACAGAAAATCATTAAGTAATTTAAGTGCTAAGTCGGTAGGGTTTTTAGTATCAAATCATTTCTAGACAGCTTAATTTGTTAAATTCTCACAGGACGGTGATTTATAACCTACCCAAAGTTATGAATATTCTTAATAAATTCTTTGAAAGCACTTACTTAGATAAGTAAGCATCCTAAGTAAGCAGCTCCCAAATCTGACCGAGCAGAACCAGCTGGGAAGTTTGTTTAAAACATCTTTTTAAATAAAATGTTTATTTTATGTTTTAAGGTCTGTCAAGCCCACTGAATCCACATTTCCAGGGGTGGAGTCTTGCTATTTGTTGTTTTTCAAAGCTACCCGGGTTATCTGACTTGCCTGGTTTGGAAAGCATCGCTGGGGAATTTGGTAAAGCTGTACAGAGTCAGGCATTCCCTATATATGTGCCCCTGGGCTTCCCTGCCCTCTCTCAGCTCTCCAGATGATTCGGGTACACACCAGACTTTGGAAACGACGGTCTTAACGATCAGAGGCCAAATATCAGAAAGAGAATGGGAGCCAGACCTTCTTTCAGTGGTTGGTTGCTTGGTTGGTTTTTAATACCAAGTATTATCACTTTTGCATAGTCTCTTAAGACCGTGAAGTTCTCTTTTGTATTACCCTCCATAAACAATGGGTTTTTATTACAACGATTCTAAAGGTATTAGCGGAGTAACTAATTCCCTCTATGTGAAAAGAAAATTGAGTTTTATTTACTGGTTTGAACCTCTGCAAAGTCACAAATAAAGGTGAAATAGGTCTTGTATTCATAGGAGTTATTGGCCTTTAAAGTGAGTTTGGGGGCACCCGGGTGGCTCAGTCGGTTAAGCGTCTGACTTCGGCTCAGGTCATGATCTCACAGTTCGTGGGTTCGAGCCCTGTGTCGGGCTAGCTCAAGCCTGGACCCTGCTTCAGATTCTGTGTCTCCCTCTCTCTCTAATCCTCCCCTGCTCACACTATCTCTCTCTCTCTCTCTCTTTCAGAAATAAATAAAACATTTAAAAATTTTTAATTAAAAAAAATAAAGTGAGTTTAAGTGCCATTTTATACTGATAATTCAAGAGTATTGTGTAAACAGAGATTTTATTTTTACCTTTAAAAATTAAGGTAAAGGAGGGGCGCCTGGGTGGCTTAGTCGGTTGAGCGTCCGACTTTCACTTAGGTCATGATCTCGCGGTTCGTGGGTTCGAGCCCCGCATTGGGCTCTGTGCTGACTGCCAGCTCAGAGCCTGGAGCCTGTTTCAGAGTCTGTGCCTCCCTCTCTCTCTGACCCTCCCTTGCTCACGCTGTCTCTCTCTCTCTCTCTCTCTCCTAGAAATAAATAAAAAACATTAAAAAAAAATAAAATCTCTTTTAAAAAAAAAAAAAATGAAGGCAAAGGAGCGCCTGGGTGGCTTAGTCGGTTAAGCGTCCGACTTTCGCTTAGGTCATGATCTTGCGGTTCGTGGGTTCGAGCCCCACGTCGGGCTCTGTGCTGACTGCCAGCTCAGAGCCTGGAGCCTGTTTCAGTCTGTGACTCCCTCTCTCTCTGACCCTCCCCTGCTCACGCTGTCTCTCTCTCTCTCCTAGAAATAAATAAAAAACATTAAAAAAAAATAAAATAAAAATGAAGGTAAATCTTATTCTGTCTGTTAATTTACGGGTATCCATTGCCTAATACCAATTCAGTACTTGATATAACATTCCAAATAATGCTTGGAAATGTGACATTGTAAAATTAAAAAAAAAAAAAATGAATGTGTTTTCTTTTCCTATGTGCTGACTCAGGAATTACCTGCCTTTTCAAGCATTGCTAGAGGGTGGCCTGCCAGTCCTTCTGAATTTTTTTTCTTTTTTTTTTTAATTTTTTTAAATTGTTTATTGTTGAGAGAGAGACACAGAGTGTGAGCAGGGGAGGGGCAGAGAGAGGAAGACACAGAACATGAAGCAGGCCCCAGGCTCTGAGCTATCAGCACAGAACCCGATGCTGGGCTAGAACTCACAAGCTGTGAGATGATGACCTGAGCTGAAGTCAGACGCTTAACTGACTGAGCCACCCAAGCACCCCAGGTACACATTATAGGGCTGAAACTAATTAAAGAAGAAATTGAAGTATAACTAATTCCTCTGTATGTCCTATCCATAAAGAAAAAGGAAATCAATTAAGTTTTTAAAAACGAGGGCAATGTTTACATGATTAGAAATATAATTATACTAAAAATAATTATATCTTGTCATTTGGATGCTACATCTTGGTACGGTTGTTACATAAGCATGGATATTGTTGGAGCCCTTCCCTAGAGAAATTTCCACATTTGAGACAAGATAGCCTTCCAACCACTCTGCTGGTGTTTGGACAGAACGAAAACATAAGCATTTCCTGCATAGTGTTTTTAAGAGACCCAAGGAAGGGCTGAGAACAGAGCTGTAGAACTGTGACTGCCCTGGCTTTAGACTTTGAACAGAATAACTGAGTGACCAAACAAATAGAGAAAAAGAGATCACAGGTCAAGGAAGGCCCCTCCACAGTAAGTGACGGTTTGCCCTTTTGTTACTACTAATGAGCCGGAATTACTCCCAAGATGACTTTCCCAATTCATTTGCCCAAGCTATTGCTAAGATATGTTTGGGCTCCTCATTTTTCCCTGTCATCTCCAGATTTAACTCTTCTTTGAATGGTCTGTCTTTTGTCCTCAGGACTCTGTCCCATCTAACATGAGGCCTTTACTGTGCCTTGCTGTCCTTTTGTAAGCAATAGCCTGCTTTTGACATGATCTAAGGCTATGGTTAGAAGCTGTAGAAATCTCCATGGTATTCCAGAAGATCCAGTGGAGATCACCCAGGGAAACGAACCTCAGTGCCTTTTTTTCCCTCTACCATCTTGGTTCACTGTATAGGGAGAGGCTTCAGCTATATAAGTGACTCATTTATTAAAGCCAAATAATCCCCAAAGCTGCCAAGTTGAAATAGGTGGGAAACCACTAGAAAGTGACGTGTGTTGGAAAGTACTCCATGTATTTTTGATTCAGCCATAAATACCCAAGACTCAAGAATATATCCGCATATGGCCTTCATTGGTAGAACAACTCTGCCTTTTCTTTGGCTTTTGAGCATAATTCGAATTCTCTTGGATTTTGTTTGCAGAGTTTCAGTATATAATGGTATTGCTCTGTATTAGGATTCTCTTGGAAAACACAGCTAACAGGAGATATATACATACGTAAAGGGATTTATTAAAAGGAATTGACTTGTGTAGTTACAGAGCCAGGCAAGTCCAACATAGGCAGAGTTGATGTTCCAGTTCAAATCCCAAGGCTGGTAGGTAAGCTGTAGTAGCTGATGATATTCCAGTTTGAAAGCCATCAGACAGGAGAATTCTGTCTCACTCAGGAGAGGGTCAGCCTTATGTTGTATTTAGGCCCTCAACTGATTGGACAAGGCCTGTCCACATTACGGAGGGGAATCTGCTTTACTCAGTCTACTGATTTAAGTGTTAATCTCATCCAAAAACAGCCTCACAGAAACACCCAGAGTAATGTTTAACCAGATATCTGGGCACTCCATTGCCTAGTCAAATGGACAAATTAACTGTCACGTACATTTCACAGGACTTCATTAAGCGATGACAGTGTTTTAATATCTTCATACTTAACTTTGATTTACACCCAAAGTCTGTGTGATTAGGAACTAAGTACACATTAATGAGAATAAAGGGGAGAAAGCATGTAGGAAAAGGAAGGACAAAGAGCAGGCATTTTATGATGTATCATGATGTGAGAAAGGCAGCCCAGTAGCACTGACTGCTAATTCCTGCAATGGTGTAAACCCGTCCCTAAGCTCTGAGTTGTGTATGCTTCTTACACTGTCTTTGAAATAAGAAAGCACACCTTCACATTTTATGTTTGAGGGAACAAATGTCTCCAAATTTGACTGACTGAAAGGCAGCCGGTTGAATTTGTCGTAAAGTCAAGACATAACTGCATATTTTTGAATTTCCAATCTCTGTTCTATCATTTAGGTTTCTGGAAAACATTTGACCTGAAAAACCTATTTTAGAAAATAAGCCCAGGGGTACCTGACTGATTCAATGGGTCGATCCTGCAACTCCGATAATCGGGTGGTGGGTTCAGGTCCTACGTTGGGTGTAGAGATTACCTGAAAAATTTTTAAATCTTTTTTTTAAAATGTTTTAAATTATTATTTAGTTTTAAGGGAGAGAGAGGGGGAGAGAGAGAGAGAGAGAGACCGCGTGAGCAGCAGAGAGGCAGAGAGAGGAGACACAGAATCGGAAGCAGGCTCCAGGCTCCAGGCTGTCGGTACAGAGCTCAATGCAGGGCTCAAACTCACGAACCGTGAGATCATGACCTGAGCCAAAGTCGGACCCTTAACTGAGCCACCCAGGTGCCCCGGAAATTTTAAAAATCTTTAAAAAGAAAAGAAAAGAAGCCCAGACATTTAGAGAAACAGAACTGATCCCTTTTGGGTTTGAACTTCCGGTTTGTGTTAGCTTTTGAAACTATGTTCACGCATGGAGTAGAGAGGATCACGTTTCCATATTAAATTTGGGGGGGCCACATTAAGTAGCCTGCGGTGCACACTATCCTAAGATGTTTAATCAACAAGTTCCATTTACCAAGATATGTCACCCAAATGCAGTGACTAACATTTAATTTTGAATATCAGGTATGTTATTTGCAAC